CGTGTCATCCTCTCCAAGTCTGCAATGACATCAAGTGACATGCTATGCAACCCATGAGCACTGTCCCCAACTTTTCGTATTTATTAGAGGTTGGGGGATCCTCAACGTTTGGTCTCAAATTTCAACCGGGGATGTTTATTTCACATGGGTTCGACATTTGAAACTTCCTATGACTTCCCTCATGCTGTGAACTGGGGTGGGCTGTGCCGTGTGGAAACTTCATTGCCGAGAGAGGTTGGGGCTGTGCTTCCACGCATCGTTCCCTTGATGCTACCGCTGGGCCAAACAAGGCACTTCGTTTCAAACCCACGAGAAACCAACCACTTCTAGAAACCATGACCAGCCGCAGACCATCATGCCGGACGAAGGCAACACATTTGAGTGCATTTCAGACGGAATTTTGTACCAATGTTTAGCCATCCCTCCGTTTCGATGCATCTGGGTCGTTTGAATTCATTTTTGGCAGTTTCCACCTGTCTCCGTCTCATGGTTTGTGGATGTTTGTGGGGTACATTTCATCCGGTTTTGTATTATTTTGTATGGGTTCGCGAGTTTTTCCCCTTGCCGGAAACCCCTTGGATGCCGTAGCGAAAAAAAGGACCGGTGTCGTGTTCAAGGACCAGGATGACAATTGGCGTTACTGGTGTTTTGCGTTAAAATTGATCTATGTGTGTGGCGCAGGTGTTTGTCTCATGTAGAGCGTTTATTTGCAACAAATTCATATCAATTTCATGTACAATCATTCAAGCATGACACACATTTTGGGAATAAAAGTAAGATGATATTCTTTTTGAGTAGCGGATGGGTGTTGGGGATGAAACGGCTTTACAGTAGCAGATGAAAACCAATTCGCAAACCCATCGTTACTTTAGAATATGCACACAATGCCTTGGGTCCGCTAAAACCTTCTATCGTTCCATGGATGGAGACAAGGCGTGGAAAGGGGAAGGTGGGAAGGACGCACAGGTTTGGAAAATGTCGAAGGTTGCTCTCCTTCAGTGATTGCATCACTGTTCCATCCTGCCCGCTCCCAAGGTTAGGAGGTGAATCGGACGTTGGTGATGATGACCGGTGGGCGGAGGAGCAGTGTCCAAGAATCGCAAATGAACAAAACAACTATAGCAAAATGACTGTAGACTCTACACCGTATACATCCAGCTGTCATCCTCCGTCAGGTTGTCGCAACATTTTGAAACCAGTTTCGGAAGTGACAGCCCTTGGCAACATGTTTGCAGGATTCCGACTTTGGCGTCTCGGACCGTCAGCTGGAGGAGCTGCCAACGATTTGGGGCATTTCACGCCATGCCACCGCTTGGCAGGAAGTGGCCCTGGCTTGGCAAAAACAGCGTGAAGAGGCAACGTGGCGGGGCAAAACGGGAATACTACGGATGTTTCGCTGCTAATGACCGGAAAACATGCAAACAGACTTCTAAGTACTTATATGATCTTATATGCATATGTCATTTCATGTCAATCTGGATAGGTACACGAACTGCCAGGATGAACTGTGAGCTGTGACTCACAACTCAAATGCAGTGACCTGGGTTCAACCGCAAACCATGAGCATCATGAACTTTCAAGACTGCCAGGATGGAGATCGTGGTGATGCAGGACTACAAAACATGATTGCCGCCCTCGTCAAAGGTTGCAAGTCTGTTGAATAAGCACTTAACCCGTCACCATCACCTGTCAAATGGGTGAAGGAGCGTCGTCATGGAAGACACTCCTTGCCTTGATCTCGGCAATGGTGTTTGGATGCTTTGCATGCTTCGGTTTCCGCATGTTTCATCAAATGGCCGCTGCTTCGGCTGAGGCCCAGCTGAGTTTTAGATCATCGATATTTTCATGCCTTGTCTTCAGCTGATCCACATTTGTGCCCTGTTTGTGCAGACCGCGGGCACACACGGTGAGGACGTGTCAAAAGGTTGGGCCATGATCCCCACCGAGGTTCAACCTTCTGTTCGCCTGTGGTCGTATTGCCGGATGATAGAGACATGGCTGCATTATATGCTGTGCAGAATGGGATTGATTAGGCCATGTGACTGTGTGGTGCGGAAGTTAATTTGCAAACGAGACGATGCGGTTGTGTTTTATCAATTTTTCGTTTTGGCATTGGATCCTGCAGTTTGTGATCGCGGCGCTTAGGTGCCAACGTTGCCACCCGGAATTCGAGCAGGCAAAGGGGGGAGCGATCCGAAGGGCGTAGTACAGGATGCTGAAGGAAGTCTCAGCATGAATGTCAGATCGAGGGGCGCAAGAGATTTTGAGCAGGAAAAGGAAAACTCAGATTCAGATCTTCCTACAACCTATCACTGACAAAGCTAGATTTGAGGGTGTTGTCTTGTTTTGGCGTATTTCGACAGCTTTGCTTCTTCAGTTTGGTGGTGGCCATGGACAGTGGATGCATTTGTGCAGGATGTGCGGGGGGCTGGGTGAGGCACAAAGAACTCGAAATTGAGGAGTTTCCTTCTGACCCTGGCATCGTGAAGCTCACATCCCAGTGGCAGCGGCCAGAAGTTCACTGTTGAAAACCACTGTTGAAAGAGGATACTGACCCAGCCCAGGCCAGAGGAAAAGACATTGCAAAGCATGGAGGATGAGGTTCTGTGCCCGGTGGTGAGTATTATGTCATGTCCCAGATGCCCCCCAACAATGTCTAATGCATGGGGGCCTTAGGGTGTCTCGGAAAATCAAATATGATTGACTTTTTGGACAATGAACACATGCCCAAGTGATCAACTGAGTGCCTCTCCTGGCAGAGGTCTATTTCAAGATGGTGTCGTCCGCACCTCGGTTGTGGGCACTCTGAAGGAAAGGCGCTTCGTCAAGCAACCACTACAGAGGGGAGAGGAAGTGTTTGAGACACAGTCTGATAGAGACGATGAGGAGAAGGAGAGAGAGAGATATTCTAAGGAGACCCTGCTTGGCCGAGTATTTTCAGCTCGAGGCATGCCAAAGTTTGTGGAAGATAGTCTTTGGCAGACGTTGCCTTTTGGACGTGCCATCGTTTGCAAGTTGCTTGAAGGAGAGCAGAAAGGAAATATGCGTTGGCGTTGGTTTACTGAGTTTACTGCATGCTATTGTGGAATTTGTAAGATGACAATCCAGTGCGAACGGGGGCTGCACGGAGGATGCAGACGTGGAGTGTGTCGATCTCTCAGACGTCGCTGGAGCCGATGCGACGCGACTTGGCCAAATCTGAGCACCTGGCCGTTGGGGTCGTTGGCTTGAATTCTTGTAACATTTTGTAACATCTTGTAATATCTTGTAGCCTGACATGTCCAGTGGAGCCATCGCATGCCGTCCGCATGCCGGTTCACGCCGTGTGTCAGGTTAAGGCAAAGCATGGGAGTCAGCCACCCAAATGCAACGGTGCCAGTGTTTGCAGTACGTGATAGTTAGTGGTTTTTTTTTGGCATCAAAGTTGTTTGGGGATGTTTGGGGAGTTTTCCTCCTTGCTTTCCATTTTTTTGCACGTTTTCACATTGAACAAATGATCAAGAACACGTGGGATGGTGCGATGGCTCGCTTAAAATGCCATTTTATCTTCCACTCAGGTGGAGAAATCTCTCGAGGACCTTGGGTTCTGCGAAGGTCTTTGAATGCCCGAGGGCTTTATCTCAGGTTTGAACCTTTGAAGCTTTCACGAAGACTTAAAGTGCAGGCTGTGAAGATTGAAGGTGGGAGATGGTTGGGCCCGGTTGGGCATGCTGGGTGAAGGTCATGGCCAAATCTGTCGCTGGATTTGAAGCTGAGAAAAAACATGTGACACGCAACAGATGGCGAAACATGGCGAAACTGTTTGGCTTGTTTGAGTTCTATCCAGGACCACCCACGGTTGGCAGGGTGAGACGCAGCATACTAGTTGGCCAAGTGGTATGAGTCTGACAGGAATATCATTTCAGAAAGTGAACTCGCTCATGGTTCTGCAAATATGCAACCAACTTGGCAAACTCCAAGCTTTGGTTCCGATATGTTCCGATCTTGTTTGCTGCCACCATAGTGCACGATCTGGTGAAGACCTGCCTGATCGTGTCTCTAACTAGCCAATGTCGTAGCCGAAGGAGTGAGGATGTGGGGAACGGTAAGAGTGGAGGACGAAACTTGTCGAATTGACATGGCATGAATCTTTTGATTTCTCTTAAATTGTTTTTTTCCCCCAATTTAACATCAAACTCCTGGGTGCCCACGCTTCATTCTTCCCTACATCGCCATGGCTCGGAATCCGTAGGCCCAAGGAAGCCTGCAGGGCATTCAGCTTGAGCTTCCGAGCCATCATGATTTTGCCTCACCACATGGCGGCCTTTTAGATTAATATTGATGTATACCACACGCACCTGCATACGACATATCATATCATGCAGATATCTTGGCAGCTTGTATGTACCACTTGCTCACTGGGGTGACAGATCTTGGGGTGTACGGGGGGTGTCCAACAATGCTTCTTTTGGAAGTTCCCAGCCACCTGCCATGGCAAAGTCATGTTGGATCAACCCGTGTCACAATCTGGACAACCCGACCCTTCCCGGGGCTGAGAAGCTGGGGGATGGCGCAATGGAGCCGAAAAGGGTGCGTCAATGCCTTCCCATTAATGTGGTAAACCATGATAAACCCAATAGACCTCTATTGGGGATGGTTTCTTATTGGGTTTGCCACATTAGACTGCCTAATTTGCAACTACGGATTTTTTATTCTGAACAACTTGACCAACTACTAGTAGTTCTTGAACCTCTCGATCGATTTTCCTAGATATATAGGTTTAAAAATTCAGATGGCTGATTTTCGGAGGTTATCCTACCGTGCTGGGAGCGTTGAAAGCACATCGAATGCCCCCCTTCTGATGCTCTGGTGTCGCAGTTCTTTCACCCAAGATGCTCAAGGAATCTCAAGGATGTAGCACTTCAAAACCGAATGTGTGGTAACAACACCCTGGCCCAGGGGAGCACCAATACATAGTTTTTTTTTTTGCATGGCATCAATGCACACTGTCAGCTGGAACATCATCGCGTTGCTAGCTTGGCATGTCCTGAAATCACTAGCATGGGATGCACTCCAGGTGCTGATGCGTTGAAAGTTCTGACAGGATTTCAGCAAATCATCTTTCCATGTTTTCTTCATGCGTACCTGTCATGAATTGAACATGTTGCAGGCAAGACCCCAGAGGCCGGACTGTGTATATATTGGATAGCGCAGTGGCCCGAGCAGTCGCTACAATGCCAAGCAACACACTTTAGGTCGTCCTGGAGTGCTTTCAACTGCCAGGCTCCGAAATTAGATGACGAGCCACAGGGAGGACAGTATAGTATGGCGAGTGAAATTATCAAAAGAAAACTGGCAGTTGAAGTGGAGCTTCACATCATTCAGCCACCTTGAAGTTCCCTCTGGAGCTGGGTAACGCAGGAGGTAAGGTGCAACGATTTGTGTCGCGCATGGCGCTGCCTGCTCAAGGGCTTGTATGTTGGATCCTCAGCTGGGAGATGTTGATCGTCAACTTGAACAGGTGAAACCTAGATGGTAGGTCAAGATCTGTCAAGATCATTGCAGTTTTCAGGTTTATATATATATATATGTGTGTGTGTGTATGTTTTTATATAATGATATTTCTTTATTCACCATTGTTGGCGTAGGTCTCTCATCAGATCTGCAATATCTTGATCTGCAGGCACCACTTTCGAAGGTGCCCCCGCCTCGCCTGCCTCGCCTGCGCCTGCCTCGCCTGGGTTGGGGTGGACCGACTTGCCGCGCAGCACCGCAGGTGACGAGGATGAAGACGAGGGCAAAACAGCAGTGGGACTCTGCACCGGTCTTGGTGCAGATGCCGCCAAGCCACACACGGGTAGAAAAAGGATCACACACACATATATATATATATACCGTGATGTACCACTATATACCCAAGCATTGGGACATCTGACAGGGCGGTTATGTTTGTTCATGGCTGAAGTGGCTAGATTTTGAATTTGGCTTCGTGCGAAGGCAGCTATATCCTTCACAGCTGCACGGTGAAGGACGAAGCCTGTAACCTGAAAGCCACTGAGGGCTTGCAGGTGCCTGGATCAGCCATTGGTTTAACGGCTGGACATCACCTGTCACCTGTTTGGCCCAGGTGACCTTCCATGGTGTGTTGATCTTTCCACCTGATGATGACATCAAGAGGCTGGAGCTGATGATATTGACATCATACATCCAGGATTACGGAAAGCGTTTCAAACGCTTGGAAGTTTACCGGTAGGTGAAAAGGGGGGGTGGGGGGGGGCGGCACAGATTTGCAGATTTTGGGGTTCCAAATGGGTGTTGAGGAGGTGCAAAAATGGCAAATTACAGTTAAAACTGCTCTTTGGGGAGAATTACAAGGAGTCAAGTTGCTGCAAAAAGTGCGTTTTTTTTTTTGTTGTTTTGAGGGAGGCGGACCTAAAACGTGCTATGTGTAAAAAACACCGCAAATACCGTGAAAAACTGCCTTGGAAACATGTTTTCATACAACTTTTGCACTTTGATGTCCTTTCTTCGTTCTGCATAGTCCCAAGACGGCGCAACATAGCCCCAAGATAGGCCAACACAGAGCCAAGATGGCCCAACATAGAACCCAGGAACGCCCAACATAGTCCCAAGCTGGGCCAACATAGTCCCAACATAGTCCCAAGACGGCCCCAAGATAGGCCAACACAGAGCCAAGATGGCCCAACATAGAACCCAGGAAGGCCCAACATAGTCCCAAGATGGGCCAACATAGGCCCAAGACGACCCAACAAACCCCAACATAGTCCCAAGATGGTCCAACATAAACCTAAAATAAAGTGAACATAGGCCCGAAGCAACCCCAGGGAAGCAACATAGTCCCAAGATAGGCCAAAGACAACCCAACAAAACCCAGCATAGGCCCAAGACAAGTCAACAAAACCCAACATAGTCCCAACAAAAATAAAGTGAACATAGGCCCAAAGCAACCCAACAGTAGCTGCAACAAATAAGTTTTCACGTGCGTTTGGCTATATTAGTTTTCCTCTTCTAGAAAAGGGGGGAGTGGGGGAGGACGGTGTAGGTGAGTGCGGGGGCCCGGTTTGACGAATGTTTGGCCGCTGCATCCTTACGGAAAGCGTTTCAAACGCTTGGAAATTTGCCGGTAGGTGAAAAGGGCGGGTGGGGGGGGCGGTACAGATTGATTACGGAAAGCGTTTCAACCGCTTGGAAGTTTACCGGTAGGTGAAAAGGGGGGGGGTGGGGGGGTGGGGGGGGGGGGCGGCACAGATGACGGAAAGCGCTGGAACAGCGCAGGGAGTTGTTGAAGCGAAGCTATTGGGGGGGGTGAGGGGGGGTAAACAGCGTGTGAAAATCAAAATCGGATTTGCAGGAGGAAGGGGGCATTTTTTGTGGGGCCCGAAAATGTGTTCGTTGGGCCCTCTCGCCGGAGGGTTTCGTGCGTAAATAGCGCAAGAATTGAGAGAATTTTTGTTGCGGATGGCCCTGCGGCAGGGGAGCGGTACTGTGTGAATGCAGCAGGTTGCTAAGTGCACATTTTCGGGCCCCGCAAAAAAAGGGAGTCAGCGAGCCCGCGCCCACAAAAAAGGAAAACCAGATAGCCCAACAGCACGCCAAAACACCTCATCTCTCCCTAACTAGCCCAATTGTACGCCTAATCTGCTACTTACTAATGCGATGAGCTTGACAGGCAGGCAGGAATACCTGAATGAACCAGAGAAAGGACAAAGAAAGGCACCGAGAACACTAGGAAGGTGGATCGACTTTGTCTACCCGAGCTGGTTTGTCTAGCCGAACTGGCCCAGTGGTAAGCCTAATCTCTAATCCTTACTAATCCGATGTGCTTGACATGCATGTAGGGATGCCCCCGGGCCCTGCAGAGAAGCACAGAAAAATAGAGAAGACATAGGGAATTGCCAAGCTAGCCTGATAGTCTAGTCTCATCTAATCTAATAATAATCTAATCTATGTAATATAATCATCGAATTGGATCCCGAAGTATCGGTTTTGGGGGGGGCCCTGTCGCTATCCATGGTTTTGCAAAAAAGAGGTGAGGAAGTGGAATGGAAAACGAACAGAAAAGGAAAAGGGTATCAAATTGATCAAAAGGAAAAGGAAAGGAAGAGGAAAGGAAAAGGAAAAGGAAACGAAGAGAGAGTCTAGTCCAATCTAGCCTAATCTACTAAGGGTATCAAAAGGAGTAAAAGGAATTGAAGAGGAAAGAGAAAGGAACGGAAGAGGAAAAGAAAAGGAAGGAAAGAGGAAAGGAAATGGAATTTTTGGCATGCTGCACATAAGTTATGCTTGCCTGATCTCAAGATCATGGGGGTTCATGGAGCGTGTGCAAACCCAATTTTTGATGACGGAAAGTGCTGGAACAGCGCAGGGAGTTGATGTAGCTTTGCCCTGAGGGCATGGAGCATATGCAAATCCAATTTTCGACAACATTAGGACCATATTTTGCCGAACTGGTTTGCAGAGCATGTGGCACAGTTTGCCTCCGTCGGCCTCGTTTTGGCCCGATGTTGGGCGCTTTTGGGACACATTGCAGAATGTACGGCTCCACGTTGGGTTGTGTCGGCCCCATCTTCGTCCATGTTGGGCCGATGTTGGTCATGCTGGGCAATGTTGGGCCAGCGTCGGGACCGTATTGCGCTTATCTTGAGCCATTTAGGGCCGCGTTGGAGCAAGGACGCCCGGCAAACACGGCAGCACAGCAGCAGCCAGCGCAGCAAGGACACCCGCCGGGCATGGGAGAGCAGCAGGGACACATTTTGGCACAGCAGCAAGGCCACAAATTGGGACACCCATCAAACAGTGGCGCAGGTCAGCCAGCACAGCAGCAAACAAACATGGCAGGAGGTGAGCCAGCACAGCAGTAGACACAGCAAGGACACCAACCTGGGACACCTGGGACAGCAGCCAGTGCAGCAAGGACACCCACCGAACACAGCTGCATTCGCAACTCAGCCGTTGCAGCAAGGACTTATTTTGGGACACCGCCCAAAGCAGGCCAGCCAGTGCAGCAAGGACTCAGCGTGGGAGAGCAGCCAGTGCAGCAAGCGGGGCCAAACACGTGGGCAGATCAGCCAGCACAGCAGCATATGCCGAAGAGGCATGGGATGCCCACCAGGCATGTCACCACAGCAGCAGCAACCTGCACCTTACTCTTTACTGGCCGGCGCAGAGACAGCCAGCGGACAGCAGCAACCACCCTTGGGTTCCTCTCTCCCTGCGGATCGCAAACACATGGCCGTACCAATCGCCCGACAAACATGGGGGGGGTCCACCAGAACGACGTCCCGCAGAACCTCACACACCTGCCGGGACTTCTGGGCAACTTGGATTTATAATCATATATGTTTTTGATTTATTCCCCGCATCTTTGTGTGGGGTTCTTGTTTTTGATTCTGTATCCCCCCTCTGCCTCCTCCTCCGCCACACCCGCTTTCATTCACACACAACTTTGTCACACACTATCTTTCACACACAACTTTGTCACACACCATCTTTCACCACACCATCTTTCACACACAACTTTGTCACACACCATCTTTCACCCACATCTTTGTCACACACCATCTTTCGCACACACCATCTTTCACACACACAACTTGGTCACACACACACACACAATCTTTCATCACACCATCCTTCACACCCATCTTTGTCACACACCATCTTTCACACACAACTTTGTCACACACCATCTTTCACACACCACTTTGTCACACACTATCTTTCACCACACCATCTTTCACCCACATCTTTGTCACACACCATCTTTCACCACACCATCTTTCACCCACATCTTTGTCATACACCATCTTTCGCACACACCATCTTTTACACACAACTTGGTCACACACCATCTTTCACCACGCCATCTTTCACACACAACCCTGTCACACACCATCTTTCACCACACCATCTTTCACCCACATCTTTGTCATACACCATCTTTCGCACACACCATCTTTTACACACAACTTGGTCACACACCATCTTTCACCACACCATATTTCACACACAACCCTGTCACACACCATCTTTCACCACACCATCTTTCACACCCATCTTTGTCACACACCATCTTTCACACAACTTTGTCACATGCTCTCTTTCACACACCATCTTTCTCACCCATCTTTGCCACACACCACCTTTCACCATCTTTCACACAACTTTGCCACACACCATCTTTCACACACAACCTTGCACACCATCTTTCACACACCATCTTTGCGTGGCAGGTGTAGCACTTGGCGAAAACAAGTGCAAAGTCTCATCCAAAAAACGGGAGTGACAGCCAAAACGATTGTGCATTTTCCAGGGAAAGCGTGATTTTTCCTGCGCGTTTTCTATTTGACTGAACGGTTGAAGATTTTATGCGAATGCTTCCGCATCTTCTGGCAGCCGGCAAGCCAAAGTGCAAGCGACACATTTATAAAGGGATGACATATACAATTATAGGGCATGCTCGGCATGCTCCATCTCTTCTTTGAGTTTTTCTGTCTTGGCAGCTCATGTTGAGGCATTTTGGGCTATGTGTTGGCCTTTATCTTGGACTTGGGCATTTCAGTGTCGTTGAGTTTTGGTCCATGCAAGGCGTTTCTGATGCTCTCTTGGGGCATGCTGCACTTAGGCTACGCTGGCCTTACCTGAGGCTCACGCTGAGCAATATTCACACCATGGTGGGTTGTTGCTGCGTCCCCTTGAGCCCACGCGGTGCCGATGTAGAGCCGACATGTCTGGGCACTGCCTTTGTGGCCTGTCACGTTTGTCATGCTGTTGTGCAGTGTGGGTTTCTTGTTGTGTCTTGGTTGAGGGCGGTGGTGTGTCAGTGATGATTTGAGGGTGTCTTGGTGGATTGTCGGTGATGTGTTGGTGCAAACCCTGCAGTGTATCAGTCTCTATTGCGCAGGTGCGTCTTGGCGGCGTTTTGGGCATGCGTGTGTAATGTTGTGCTTGCGAGCTATTTTTCTGGTGTTGTGGTGGCATTTGACTGGTACTTTTGGTGGTGTATGGGTGGTCTCTTGCTGGTGGGTGTCTTGGTGGTGGTGGCATGGCATGTTGTGAGCTCTCATAATATGGGTTGATATTTCAATGGTGTGTTGCATCCGCGCGCGCAGACACAATACACATCAATACACATCAATACACATCAATACACATCAATACACATCAATACACATCAATACACATCAATACACATCAATACACAATATCAAACAATCCTGCACACTTGTGGCCCGTGGCATCTCCAGCGCTTTTCCTGTCCTGGCCGGCATGACCTAGACAAGGAAAAGGCGGCTTGCGTCGTGTGTGATAAAGTAAACAAGTGCAAATCTCATCCAAAAAATGAAAGACAGCCAAAACGATTGTGCATTTTCCAGGGAAAGCGTGTTTTTTCCTGGGCATTTTCTATTTGACTGAATGGTTGAAGATTCTATGCGAATGCTTCCGCATCTTCTGGCAGCCGGCAGGCCAAAGTGCAAGCTACGTCTACATAGAGGGATGTAATTATAGGGCATGCTCGGCATGCTCCATCTCTTCTTTAAGTTTTGTTGTCGTGGCACTGCTTCACTGGCTTAACGCTGGTATTTGGGTAATGTATGGTCATGTTTTGTTGGTGTCTTTTGGATCTGGATTCCTTCTCTAGTTCAAGAAACTCACTGAAAAGTTTTCGTATACGATTCATGATGTTGGTATCGGGATTTGTCTGACCGTATATTTATATACTTTTTGCACCTACATGTATTATTTGACAGCTGAACCATGGTAGTCTGCTACCCGGGATATTTGGATATATTTGAATGCTTTCCGTCGTTTGCCGTGCTGGTTTGCAGATTTTGGGGTTCCAAATGGGTGTTGAGGATTTTGGGCAGAATTACAAGGAGTCAAGTTGCTGCAAAAAGTGCGTCTTACCTGCACAAATTTTGTCGATTTTGTTGCTTCGAGGGAGACGGACCTAAAACGTGCTATGTGTAAAAAAAACACTGCAACTACCGTGAAAAACTGGCTTGTAAACATGTTTTCATACAACTTTTGCACTTTGATGTCTTTCTTCCATAGCCCCAAGACGGCGCAACATAGCCCCAAGATAGGCCAACACAGAGCCAAGATGGCCAAACATAGAACCCAGGAAGGCCCAACATAGTCCCAAGATGGGCTAACATAGGCCCAAGACGACCCAACAAAACCCAACATAGTCCCAAGATGGTCCAGCATAAGCCCAAAATAAAGTGAACATAGGCCCAAAGCAACCCCTGGGGCGCAACATAGTCCCAAGATGGGCCAAAGACAACCCAACAAAACCCAACATAGGCCCAAGACAACTCAACAAAACCCAACATAGTCCCAACATAGTCCCAAGATGGGCCAACATAAGCCCAAAATAAAGTGAACATAGGCCCAAAGCAACCCCGGGGGGGCAACATAGTCCCAAGATGGGCCAAAAGGCCCAAGACAACTCAACAAAACCCAACATAGCCCCAACATAGTCCCAAGATGGGCCAACATAAGCCCAAAATAAAGTGAACATAGGCCCAAAGCAACCCAACAGTAGCTGCAACAAATAAGTTTTCAAGTGTGTTTGGCTATGTTAGTTTTCCTCCTCTAAAAAGGGGGGGAGTGGGGGGGGAGGGTATAGGTGAGTGCGGGGGTCCGGTTTGACGAATGTTTGGCCGCTGCATCCACTTGGTTAAGAGTTCATGCACTCACAACGACATTAGGACAGTACGAGCAACAAAGCAACAAACGCAACATACTAGCATATTGCGAGACGCACCGCAAAGAACAGCACCAACAACATCATGCTTCCAGCGCCGTCTCACCACTTCCCACAGTTCCGGCGCCATCGAAAAACAACATGGTGCCAATGCATGTCACAACTGGCACGCTTTCCGTTTTTTCTGAACTGGTTTGCAGATATTCGTAGCCAAATGCCTGCAGGCAGAAGAAGGGTGATGCACCTATTACCAGAGTCAGCCGAAGAATGTCGCTGGTTTCAGCCCAATCTTATGACTCTCGCGAGGCTGGAGGATTGGAATCGGGAAATGATGGAAAAATCCCATGGAAATGGCGGAAATGGTAGCTGTTTGGAGGCGACTGCCAGTCAGCTGGACCGCAATGGCGATGGCATTCCTGACTTGATCATAGACAAGATCAGAGAGTTGGAGGAGGATCCCAACAAGTGACCGCTGAGCCCGCGGTGACGAAAAACCTGAGTCATGTAACATGTATGTATATATATATACACACATATATTGTTGTTGCACAGTCCTATCACAGGTATAGGTAATTTTCACCTTTATACTGGGTGTGCCTTGGCTCAAGAAACAGTGCACTTTGCGTGCAGGGTTGTAACTCGGATTTAGTGGTCTTTCCCGTTTGTTTACCCGTTTCTACAGGTTATCAGCTGTGTCGCCAAGCGATCGCTGGTTTCCTTTGTCTCACTTTTTCGCTAACTCCTCCCCGTGCTTGTGATGGCGACTCCCCCTGCGTTACCTGCCCCGGGCGGGAACGCCACGGCTGCCCTCGCTGTCGCAGGTACAACGCGGCCGGAGGAAATGGTGATCCACTCTGGAGCAGCTACACCAGAAGGTGACATGAGCTACTTGGATGAGGACTTTGACCCATGCCGTACTGACCCACGCCGAAACATGCCAGGTGTCTTGGATGCCAACATCGAAATCAGCCAGTTGAACACAATCAACTTCAACAGTGTTGATCAGCGTACCGCCCATGTGGCAGTGGTACATCAAGGAGTTGATCCGGCCCTGGCAGGTCAATTGATGGCTGCACAGCAGCAAGCTTTGCAGACTGAATTCAATGCGCTTCATTCTGAGGTCATGGAACGTCAAAGGGAAATGCTTGTGAGCGAAGCTCGAGATCGTCTTGCAAGCATCGAACAAAGAGCAGCCGATGAGATTTCTCAGAAGAACCTTTTGTTGAACGAACAAGCTGCCCATGCGATGAGCGAGCAAAAATCTGCTCAGTTGCACGTCCAGGCGCAGGATCATCGCATCAAGGAATTGAGTGCCGAACTTAGTCAGATCGTTAACACTGCGGGTCTCATGTCAGCGTCTGTAGACAAGTCCAATGCCGATTTGCTTGCAGCTCGATCTGAACTTGCAGAGTATCGCACTCAGCTCGATGCCATGAATCAACATTCACTGGACATGAAAAGAGCGGCTGACTCTCAGAGACGGGATTTCGAGGTGGAGATCGAGAAGCTTCGGAAAGAACAGAAAGAGTTGGTTCGAAGTTTGAAATCCCAACCTCTGGAGGGAACTCCTGGACTTGAAATTCATTATGGACCAGGCCAACCTCACCAACAAACGTCTCAACCATCAAGGCCAATCATTAAAGAACTTGATGAAAGTGGCAAGAAGCCTGCTCACTCATCCGATGCGGATGATGAGAACATTGCGGCAGGACCCTTCAAACCACCAGGTCTTCCAGGCGAACCTCCTGATGACGACGACGACGACTTCGACGACGACAAACGAGGTCGAAAGGACAAGAAGAACAAGAAGAAAGGCCGAAAGGCCAGCCGAGGACGGTCAAGACGCCGACGTCGTCAAGACCCATCCTCATCTCTGTTGTCTTCTTCGCCTACCACGTCCAGTTCGGATTCTGAGAGTTCCTCTGCACGTAAGGTTAGGAGAGCTTTAGAACAGTCTAGGTCATCTGATACCAAGGCCAAAGAGTCTGATCGGGTGCTAGTTCCTAAGTTCCCTCAGCCTGAAAATTACAGGAACTGGAGGATCAGAGTAAGGGATGCCGTAATTGCTGCTTCTGCTAAACCTGATTTAAGCTTTTCAGTGGATTGAAGAAGTTTTTAAGACTGACCAGTCCATTGAAGCCTTGAAGGGCTCAGGTAAGTTTGTGACTCTGGGCGCAAAGCTCATGTCTTCGCTCACCAATATCTGCGAAGGGGACTTTGCACGGCAACTTGATATCTTTGAAGAAGAACAGGCCAAATCCGGAACACCAGCCCGAGGACGTCAGGCATTGCTCATGATCCATAAGCATTTCAGTACGGGTAGAAAACATGGTGCAGTGTATGACATCGAAGATTTAATGGCTGTTACCTTAGCCAACGACGATCTAAGGGGTTTCATCACTAGGTGGGACGCCGTGATCGCTGGAATGACTTCCGAGCCTGACACCATGTGGAAGCAAGCATACTTCCACAATGCCATCAAGGACTTCAAGCCCCTTTCTCATGATCTGGCCGTGTATGATCGCACACCGGAGGGGGAACCCAACCGCTCTTATGAGTTTCTCATGAAAGCAGCAAGGGATTACCTCGAGGGAAGCGTCTTGAAAAGATGCGCCAGGCTACAAAGAAGTCAGCATCAGGTAAGCGAGATGCCGCACCAGCTCCCAACAGACCACCGTCTGCGGGGGAACCTCAGGGCATTTGCTATGATTTCCAAGCAGGCAAGTGTACGAGAGGAAAGGATTGCCGATATAAACATGAGAAGTCAGACAAAGGCAAAGGCGGAGGTAAGAAAGGTAAGTCTATCTTTGTCTCCAGGACCTAGGAATCAAGTTTGCAAGTTTTGGAAGGCGGGGAAGTGTCACCGTGGTAGTGAGTGTGCTTTTCAGCATCCGCCGAAACCTGCAGCTCCATCCGCAAAGGATGACAAGCATGGGAAGAGCCAGAAGAAGAAGAAGAAGAAGGGCGACCGCTCTAGGTCGTCAAGTCGAGGTTCCAATTCCTCGAAGGGCTCTCAGAGTCTCAAGGGCAAAGGGCGGGAAAACCATCTTCCTCTGGCTCAGCTGCAGTTTGCCTGATGTGCGCTCTGATGATGGTCGCAGTCGTTCATCCTTCGACCAGCACTCATCGCGTGCCGGAAGGCATTGCCTCGGTCCGCTCAGTTTTACAACCAGCATTTTGCCATGCCAGTTACACCCAATCGCACTGTTTCATTTGGGGACAACATTGAAACCTTTGATCCATGCCATGCTAAGCAAAGGACGCACAATCCAATTTGCAATACAAAAGACGATCGTTATCGTAAAGAAACGATCGAAGCCCGTGAGAGTGATGCCATACTCGCTGCACAAATGTTGCAGTCAGCTGTCTTCAGGGAGTTGCACGGAAAATCTTGCAAATGCAACTTCGCGTGCCACAGTGATATCGGCTGTCGTCATTGCATCCGTTCCGACCTGAAAGCCCTGCCAGGACACATGCCGTCCCAGCAGCGTAATGCATCCGCTGAGATTGCATGGATCGCAGATACCGGTAGTGCTCAGGATTTGGTTTGTAGTAAAATGATTCCCGAAGACGTAGTGTATCATTCTCATGAACCCCTTGAATTAATCACAGCCAATGGATCTCAATCAGCTGACCAACAAGCATCCGTTCACATCGATTGCATCGATAAAGAAGTTCATCCTTATGTTCTTCCCGATACTCCCGCAGTCATTTCTCTAGGAATGAGATGCATTCAGGATGGATGGGACTTTGTTTGGAAAAGCTTTAGCCGTGCGTATTTCAAGAAGAGTGATGGTTCTAAGATAAAACTTGAGGCAAAAGACTGCGTTCCTTACTTACCATCCAGAGATGGCCAGGTACCCGCAGCAGTAAGGATTTCATTTTCTTGGGACTCCGCTGCCGGGAACGGCAAGCCCATCATTTCGCCAGTTCGAAGGTCTCGTGTGTCGGCAGTTGGAACTGAACCTGAGGACGAAGTCGAAGAGGTGGAAGAACCTTACGAGGCGTCCATCGCTGACGATGACGAGGTTCTCGGACATGCTGACGACAGTCTCGAGGAGTCCTTCCCTGGTGAGCTTGCACCAGGACCTCCGGCAGCAATGACGCCAGACATTGCTGAGGGTTCGGAAGACGAGGTCGAAGCTCCTGATGAACCAGTTGACGGTCGACTTCTTTTGCCTGAACCTAAAGCTCTTGATTGTGGTGAAGCTGCATTGAGGGACGAGGCCAGGACTCTTAGGCACATGATGACACACCCCAAAGAACCCATACTGCGAAACGTGCAAATGTGCTAAAATGTACAAACCAACTAAACGTAGTACGGGTGAGTCTTTGACTGTGGAATCCAACAAGTTTGGGGATCACATCGCTGGGGACCATCTTGTGACTAGAGATTCAAATGAACAATCAATTGATGGTGATAGGGTTGCCATGGTCATGAAAGATGTTGCTACCAACTTTCGATGGATTTATCTATCCTTCAGCTAGGAGTCATGCCAAAGACTGTGTTTTAGCATTTGGACACTTTGTTGCACCCGGTGGAGAAGTTGGAGTGTTCTACTCTGACGCAGCCCCATCCATCAAACTCGCTTGTCGGGAAGTTGGGCGGAGACAAACACAAGTGTAGCTTATGTTTCTAAATCTAATGCAGTCGCCGAGAGGAATCTCAGGTCCGTACCCGAAGGGACTAGAGTGAATCTTGAACAGGCGGGACTTCATCACTCCTATTGGAGCTATGCTTCACGGCATTGGTGTATGGCTCACAACATCCAGGATCACCCCGAAATCAAATCCCCCTGGGAACTTCGTTTTGGGAAAAAGTTCAAGGGACCCAACATTCCTTTTGGGGCTCGTATTGATTACTGGACTGGACCAAAATTAAAACCCAAGAAGGACTTGCGTTTTGATCCAACTTCAAATCCAGGTATCTTTCTGGGGTATGCCATGCAGCCAGGCTTCATTTGGAGGAACGAATATCTTGTTGCTCATGGATAAGGATTTCAATGAATCGGTTCAGGTTGTCCGTGTCAACCAACTCACTGTACCTGATGGACCATTTGTTTTTCCTTTGAAAGGTAGATATAAGGCCATTAGGGAAGGTTTGTATGAAAGCCTCAGCCTTGATGCACCTTCAGACCCAAAGAAGATGGATGCTCAAACTATTGAAGACTTGTTTTCTTCGAAGAAAGCCATCGCTCAAGGATCTGTGGAAGGTGAAGAGGAGTTCGAGGAGTTGATGCGGGAAGCGGGACTTGAAACAGATGACATTGAAGTTATTAACCCCATCACTGGTAGTACCGAATGCATTTCAAAGGATGACCCTTCTTACTACGACTCCAGTGGTTTTAAGGGAAGACGCTACAAAGGATCCCCCAAACCAAAGGACATTCCAACATTTCTTTGGCGGGGGTCCTCCAAAGCGGCTAGAGAGCGTGCCAAACGTGAAGCCTTGTTGAAAGAAGCAGCGGAAAAGCACGACGCAGCCGTTGCCAAAGAACGTAAGTATAACAGGGTTGTTGATCAATTTGCAACATCAGCCGTACCAGAGCCCAAAAATGATGTTCAAACCTCCGATGATTTCATTCCCGTGATGCCAGTCCTCTCCAATGCGGGGGGCTCGCCGACGCACGGTGGAAACCATTGCCATAGGGACAAACTCCAGGATCGGTCAGAGCTTATGTGCTTTCACTTTTCCAACGCTCTTGTGGCAAGAACTGTTGGACAGAAGGAGATCAACAACACTCCAGCTGCCCAAGCTGCACCCGACAAAGAATGGAACAATCTTACAAGTAAGGGTGCGTGGGACTATTCTACCGTTAGGGAATGGGAAGATGTTTCGAGGGAAGCCATCAAGAACAAAACCAAAGTTCATGTTGGTAAAATCTTCGAGATTTGTGTTGAAAAGGGAAGTGAGCTCCCGCTGGGAGACCCCATGCGCAAGTTTAAGGGTCGCACCGTGTTTCAGGGAAACAACGTCAAGGACGAGGCGGCTGATGTTGCCTTGTTCGCGGAGCTCGGAAGTTCACCGGCCAACATGGAGGCAGGAAAAGCATTGGATGCTTATGGCTCCATGCCAGGGAACCGGACATCGCAAGGCGATGGAAAGCAAGTATACACCCAAGCATTGATGCAAGGTATCCTAACATGGATTAGGCTACCACGAAATCGATGGCCAAAGGAATGGATTGGAGTATACAAAGATCCGGCTGTTCTTTTTTTGGCATCGTATGGTCACCCCAATTCGGGGGGTCTATGGCAACGTCATTGTGAGAAGGAGTCGGATTTCATCCACTATACCCTGAATGTTGCCCGTCTATGTTTTGGCATCCCAAGTTGGAGTTGTTGCTTGGTGTTAATGTTGATGACTTCAAGATGTCAGGACCCTCAAACAACATCGATGAAGGGTGGAAACTTCGTTCTTCTCAGATTGACATGGATACTCCCGAAGATGCAGGAAGATATCTAGGTTGTGAACATGTTTTCAAACAGAATGTCAAATTGAATGTTAGTGCTCACCCTTTTGCCCATGTCTTTGATGCAAGCATCCCGGATCCTTCTAGTAAGCCAGCCAGTCCGGCCCGTCGAACTATGGACTACTGGGAGCACATGCCGGAGCTTGGAATTTGTACTCATCATCACCTGCAACCTCGCAAGAAGTTCCAGGACAAGCCGAAGGACAACATGTCTTTCCGGGCGGGAACGCGCCGGCTGACCGTGTGTGAACCCTGTCAAACAAAGGATGAACCAGAGGAATTTGTTCATGATATGGAATCTCAAAACCCAACTGGACTTCCATTTTGATGGACGGGATCAACCTACTTTGTGGACAAGCCAATTCAAGATCCCTCAAAAGCTCTAGCAGCAGCTAAGAAAATCAGAGACAAATCAGGGGCAAAGAAAGCAGCAAGAGCACAAGGATTCACTTTTCTTGATGAACTTGAGCAGCACAAGCCAAAGTGCATGACAAAGAATGTCAATACAGTCGAATACGACATGAGACAATTCTTGCAACAATGTATTGGTCGCTATGTTGAACTAGCAGGACCAAATGTTAAGTTCAAGAAAGTTGCAACACCTTTCCCAGACGACAAGATCGCTCGTCCGATCATGGGCGAAGCAGAAGCTCGGGGGGAACTCCAGCCCATAGCATCACGTGTGTTGATGAAAGTGTTGTTCGCAGCATGTATGGCTAGATTTGATCTTCTCCGTGCTACTCAGGGATTAGCAAGTAGGGTTACTAAATGGTCACCTGATTGCGACAAGAGTCTCCATCGTTTGATGTGTTACACCTTGATCGTACAATGGTTGGTTTTATCGGGGGCCCACCTGAGAGTTGCAAAACATGGTTATTTGCAGATTCCGATCACGCTTTGGAACATGACAATCGTTCAACAAGCGGATGCCTCCTTGCACTAGTAGGGCCCAACACGTTTTATCCACTCACAGCTTTTTCAAAGAAGCAGACTTCAACAGCTATGTCTTCGACAGAGGCTGAAGTCACTGCGCGAACCTTGCTTTACGTGCTGTTGGTTTACCTTCCTCCTGCCTGTGGTCTGCATGTTCGACCACAAGCCCGGTTGAGCCCAAAAATGAAAGCTGAATGCATCCGACCGAATTGATGTTCACTGCATCCGTTGACTGTCGTACTTCATGTCGGGTCAATTGAAGTGCATTGTCATGTTTTGCTCTTTTGCCCAATCTTGCCACACGAAGGTGAAAGACTAAAGGGCTGCACAAAGGAAGGCCTTGACTGGCGGGTTCTGGTTTGGGTTGTTGTTGGTGCTTCATAGTGTGGTTACTTAATAGCATCCCTTACTAGACTGTACAAAGCCTTAATTTGCAGCTTCACCCTTGTAAAGGCGCTACTCTGCACGGGGGGTGTTGTTGCACAGTCCTATCACATGTATAGGTGATTTTCACCTTTATACTCGGTGTGCCTTGGCTCAAGAAACAGTGCACTTTGGGTTCAGGGTTGTAACTAGGATTTAGTGATTTAGTGGTCTTTCCCGGTTGTTTACCCGTTTCTACACACACACATATATATATTACATGTACACACACAGATATGTATATATATATATATGTATGTATGTATGTATGTGTGTGTCTGCACGCATGAGTGTCTTACAACATAATACACACACACACATAGAGAGAGAGAGAGATATTGTTTACAGCAGGATGCTGTTTTGATTCTTGCATAGAACATCGTAGAACTATCGGTTCATCAGGGAATCACTTTGCACTAACAAACCTTTAGTCAAGGGATCATCCTTCACTATTGGCTGAAGCTCTCAGCTCAGGTACGTTCTCACTGTGGATGTTGCTTCCGTCCGCACCCTGACAACGGAGGGATGTGAAATCTGAATGTAAGGAAGACCTTTCTGAAGCACCCATCATCCCCCATCAATATCACTGATTTTTCTCTGTAGCCAGTAGCACCATGCAGCACGTACAAATGCCACCTGAGCTACCCCAGGTCATGTGGTATAGCGGCGTCAACGAGTTGCCAGACGACCCGGTGTGGGCCTTAGCAATGCATGTTTAGACAGTTTGATCATGTTCTATCGTTGATCTGATAACGCTGATGTTTTCTTGTTGCATCGAGCGCTTCAAGGTCGCGAACCCATCAGCCGTGATAAGAGGCAGGGTTCAGAGCAGTGATCATCCAATTGATCGAATTGACATCGGCGGAACAGGGCTCTTGCCAACGCCGCGGATGCTTTCCGGAAGCTGGAATTTGATGGTCATGGCCACAGAAGAACCATTGGAATCCATTGGACAGGTTAGTCACAGGTGGTATAGCAACGCAAAGCAATACTCATGATTGGTCATGTTGGCCAACTGACTGAGACAATCAAGGCCACAAGAGGCCTGAAATCGAGCAAAACTGCTACCACCTTCAAGACGAAGAGCCACTCCAGCTTGAGCGTTTCTCACGAAACTGTGAAGGCAGGACGCTTGCAGAACTGGTTTCAATATGTTCACTCCGCAAGTGTTTTGCTGTTCTCTTATTGGTTGATGTTTCATGGCTGGATCAAGATCCTTGCTATTTCATGACCAGCAGACAGCAATTGTTGCCCTTTGTTTTGCACAGGTCAAGTGCTACAGCCTCGTCGGAACCCCAAATCGGAGGCATAAACCCACTGCTACAGGGATTCCCCACATAGAAATATTAGGAATTATATTTGCACATTAGACTAAATTTGGCGATTTTTTCGCAACTTGACTTGTAGTATGTTCATTTGTTTTCAAATTCATTCTCGCATATTCTCAAGTTGTATTTATACGCCATGTATACCGAGCCCATACCCAGAACCGCATCTTAGCATTTTGATGCATTTTGCCAGCCTCAGGAAGTAGATCAATTGGCGGATGCCATGTGTGCCTCCTGGTTGCCAGTGACCGACGTACTGGAGGCCGGATGGATGCGCAAGGCTGGTGCTGAACTCACAAATGTTCAACATGGGACTGTGAGCATCTGTGAACAGTGACTGCAGATGACTGCAGGGCATCCAGACCGACCTTTGCGCCAAAGTGTTGGGAAGCTCAGATTCCGCTGGCCGTCGATATTGGATCCTGGATATCCTGGGTGCCGCTCAGGGCGTCGTTCAAGTGAACCAGCTGAGCTGTTGAACGGCCCACGCGTTGTCCCGCGTCTGAAGATCCAGCGACACGAGTCGCAACTGGTAGCAAAGGCGTTCTGGAATTCTGTGCCAGTAGGATCCATTATGTACCTTTTGAATCCTTTTGAATCCTTTTGAGTTTACTGGGGTCCCTATGTTGCGCCCTGTGTGTCACAATGCATTCCAGACCCAAATTAGATTCAAAGATATTCCTGGCGCTCATTGAAATTCGAGTTGGGATCTGCATGGCATCGTGCCATCCCAAGCTGCATCTGAGATGCCGCAAGCGCATCGCCCAACGATTTGGCAGACTTCCTTTCCTTGCTTTGGCTTCAGTCTGAATGATCTGAATGTTGTTTCTGAATGTATCTGTCAGATGATGTCAGATGGTTACTGGTGATTGTTGTTTCTGTATCGTTGCTCAGCGTGACCTTTCCATGGAGTGCCTGTCAGTAGACTCAGTAGACGGATAGATCTGATCGACCCATCAGCAGGTCAGGGCATCCTTAGGATGGCCCCCAAGGTGCTGGAGCCGTAGTCGTGAGGAAAATGCACGCACTGAGTTACTGGGAATGGGAGGGGTTGGAAGGCTCCGCCTTACTGAATCAGGAGTGCCAGCATTCGCATCCTCGGAAGTATTACCAACTATGCGTGTATGTATATATATATAATATATGAATTCTTTCACTGGCAATATCCTAGTGATCAACTATTGATTAAGTATGATTAAATAGGATTAATAACTTGTAGATTATATGTGTTAGATTTGGTTAGATAATCAGTGCAAGACCTCCACTGATCCGCTCAGCCTCGGGCTCTCTGCGCTCGACCACGCGGGTCGAGTTGGGCATCATGGCCATGAAGGCGTAGCACCAAGCATGGGGAAAACAACATGAAACAACCATCCAAAACCATCCAAAACCATCCCCAATAAGAGGTTATTTGTGGTTTATGGTTGATGATTATTTGGGACACTAGTGGAAAATTTGGATAATTATGGGATAACAATAAGAAACCATCTCCATTAGAGGTTTGTGAAATTGTGTATGCCCCGAGAAATGGGATGATGGAGATATTATGACCCACAGTTACGGTTGGCAGGTTGGTGAATGGCATTGGGTGGATCCCACATTACATGATTTGACGCATCCTCATGCATCCTGATACACCTAAAATGAAGAACCAGTGAAACAATAGTTGATAGATGATATTAGTAAAAAAAAGTGGCCCGCAGTCGCATATCATTTTAATATATTTTAATCATTTTCCATGGTGGTTGGCCTTGACTTTGAAGGAGATAGCAGGACACCGACCCACCAGTGATTTTGTTTTCTCAGCGTTCCCGTGTCAGGTCGACCCATTCAGCCGACCGCCCCGGGCTCAGTTGAGAATCTGGATGCAACTGACCGAACTAAACAGCTTGGAGATTTCTGACATTTTCTTACACTCTTCTGACATCTGACATCATCTGATATCCATGGCTCGTCCGTGACTGTGGCTCGGAGTCATTTTCAATGGTCCAGGCATAGCCTGATAGACTTTAAGATCCAAAATAGGCCTTGGTAAGTCTTGGTGGTTGCAGCCACTTTGTATGTGCCATGTTCGACAAGATCGCCGTGCTGGTGGGATGCCCCTGTTCCGCGGATAACTCGGCACCGATGAATTTGGGGCAGGACACCTCACGGCATGGATGGTATGGGATGATCCCTGAAACTCCTGAAACTGCTGAAACTGGTAAAATTGATAAATAGGCAAGTAAACATGGCCCCATTTAATATTTAATTGGGTTACACGCCCTTTTCATCTCCTTTTCATCTACTTTTAACTGAGAATCAGTGAGCAAAAAAATGGCATATATCCCACAGGATGGGTGAAACCTTGGACAGGATGACCTGGTAGAAGCCTCCTGTGACCTTGACCATGTGCTGATTCAGCCTGCTGTCAAGACAGAGGACCCTGAGGAGCTTGGAAGGGCTTGATTGGAAGAGAAACATGTCACGCGCATGAAGCGAGTTCGCAATATGATGCAATATGTTTCCAATATGTTTCACCATCACCATCCTTGCATCCAGGCTTTTGACCTACATTATATTTGCTCATGCGCATGCATCCAGGCAATTGACGAATTGTGCAGGCCGAACGTTGCTCCTTTCCTCGTTGCGACACCGCTACAGGACAAGCAGGAAGAGAAGGCTCCAAAGGAGTCTGAGAAATCCGAGAAATCCGGACCCAATTTTTCAGGTGATTGGGTTCTCCTGAGAGTCGAAGGCTGGGAGAGCTTGATTCGGTCCCCCCCCAAGTTCCCAAAGAAGAAGAGATGAGAAGAATCGAGCGATGAGAAGAGTTTTCCACAGGTTTCCTTTGAGATTATACTGACAGTACCCATGGTACCAAGCGAACTGACAGGCGATTTCGACGCATTCATGAAGGCCAAAGGTATTGGCTATGTGTCTCGTTCACTGGCGAAATCTACGGGCTATGGCGTGAACAAAATGCATCAATCGGTTGAGCAAGACGGCGACAAGCTCAAGATTACAACAACGAATCCCAAAGGGACCAAAGTCTTGAACTTGCTCGCCAACGGCGAGGAACAGGAGCCACAGGGACAAACAGGGACAGGGACAGGGATCCACAGGTCGATGGTTCCATATCCATCCTTGCGATTTTCCGACATCCAACTTCCCCCAGACATCCAGCTGAGCTAACGATTTGTATCTTCCCAAGTATGGGTTGGTCCTTTTGTTCCCAATACTCAGCTGCCTCAGCTTGAAAGCTGTGGTGTGAGGATGGGACGGATCCAATCGACGATAAGCCCATCAAGATCCGTGCAGCTTGGGATGGATCCGCCTTAGTGATGACTCTGAGGCCTGAAAGATCCTCGAAGCTGTGTGACGGGTCCACCATGGTTCACCATGGTCCACCATGGTTCACCTCCCACGGTGATTTCTTGCCAGATTCTGCCAGGTCACAACGCCCTGCCAAAGAACTGGGCAGCGTGAAGCGGTATCTTCAGGAGGAGGCTGGGCCATGCTATCCATGCCATGCTGCTGTAAGCTGCTGTTGCTGTACCATTCTATCGGAACTCTTGGGCCGGCCACAGGACACCATCCAAGAACTCGTGGCTCCCGATGGTGTGGTGGTCCGGCGCGTCTTCTCACGCGCCAAGTGATGACGCCGCATGGCGGCGATGTTTTTTGAAAGGCCGGGGACTTGACCAAGGATGGAAGGGCCAGGGGACATACATAGAGGCTGTTGCAACATCATTGATGTATCAATGAAGCCTGCCTCAAATCCAGCCCCCAGCTTAGAAGACACTAGTTGCTTCTAAGAGAGGAGCAGCGAATGCCGTGTCACCCTTTAAGGGCTGACAAAGGCGTGACTGTAAAGTCAACGGAGATACAGCTTTCAGGTACGACAACCTGCGAAATCTACGTCCGGAATTTCGCTATGCTCCTAAACGCTTGTAGTGGTCGCCTATCCCACTTTTGACACAAACGGTTTGCAACTACCGGAATAGAAATAGAACATATAAGGACAGTATAAAGACCGAGACCTAAGAGGTTCCAAGAGGATCCAAGAGGAGTTCTGGTGCTCTTTTCGAAAGCTGTGGCGATGGAGCCATGGCTCCCTGCCTCGTCGTCTTGAAATGCAGAATAGTCATGCAATGCCAACAAAGTTCCATGCAATGGGAATATCCCAAAGAAGTCCAAGGCTCTACTGGATATGACCCTAGGGAAACATATCCATTGAATCCATTGACATTCATCAACCATCACGAACATCCATCACGAACATCCATCACGAACATGGATGATGGCCAATATCAACCTATGGCCAATGCCCCGCTACGACGATGTGGGGCCCATGCGATGAGCGTCACCTGGGCGAAGGGAGAAAAGCGGCCGGGGCTGAAGCTCCGCTTGGTGATTTCCCATAGCAGGATATATTTGGAGCTTGGACCGCTTGGATATCCCGGATATCCCGGATATGCTGGAAAACTCAAGAAACAGAAACAGTACTATGGAACAATGCTTGGAGGCAGATGGGTGACAAGTGATGTACATAATTTCCAATGAAGAACATGTCTGTAAGTAAAAGATGACGTGCTCACACAGCTGTAGCCAGGCCATGTACAATGTAGATCCATTCAGCATGCCATCGACATGCTCTCAGGTCGATGTTTCCCGATGTGATTCCTGCGAGCTTGACAGCCTGACAAGCCAATGATAAGCCTGATAAGCCTGTGGCAAGGTGGCAAGGTTTCAGTGAGAGCTGACAACGTGGCCAGGCGGTCGAATGGAAGGCACAACTGGAAGCCATGAAGGCGAGCTGTGCCGCGAGTGACAGGTCAAATGACTCATGATGACTCATGGTCCGGATTTTTGGATATGTGTGATGAGTTTGATGATTTCCTGGGGTTAATGGAATGGTGTTAGTTTCTGTTTATGACAGTTTTTGCCTTATGGTAAAGTCTGGATGGCTGCTGTGCGGGCAATGGCGCCCGATGGTTAGTCAAAGCACTAAGATCAGTAGGTTTCAAAAGTAGTGACACGGTAACGACCAGAGTGGCCTTGTTTCCTTTGTGAACACTTTGTTTCCTCTTCAGACCACCACGTGCAGCATTTTTTCGGGGTTGTGGATATAACCATGATAAATAGATAAATAGATAAATAGATAAATAGATAAATAGATAAATAGATAAATAGATAAATAGATAAATGATAAATAGATAAATCAATATGTATATATATATATATATGTATACGTGTGTGTGTGTGTGTACCATCTGAACAGATGTAAAACTTCTGATTGGTTTTCACTAATTTGCAGGGGGGTGCAGAGCACAGTGGAGACTGCACCCAACGAAGCTATCCACTTGTGCTGGAAGCAGAGTCTGATCAACTCTGTGTACCTGCAAAATTTGGTTTCAACTGTTGATCAAGCTGTTACACTGCGTTGTTTCGAATCTACACGGTTGCCACAATCTGTATTGCATGCATCAGAACCTTCCTCAGATTTTCGCCGAAACCATATCGCCGACAGTATTATGTTTTTTGACTTATTTTCGCCGAGACCCTGTCGCCGACGAACTATGGGTTATTTTGGGAAACAATCGCCGAAACATTATTTTGGATTTCCACATGCTGGTCAAAACTCTATGGAATCTGGTTATGACTACGTTTGACAATTTCGGATGCCCTACATCGTTTGCGAGAAGTACCTCATGTGGCTCTTTTATTCATCTAATAATCTAGGCTGGTTTGCATGTTTCAGGATTCAGTTCCTGCCGGATCATATAATGATCCATTCTTGTCTAGTGTGATTTCCATGGTGGCTCCGACATGGTGCCATGGAGCCATTGGAGGCAACCCTCTTCAGGGTGAGTGTTGACAGACTTGAATTCTGAATTTACACTTTTCAACTCAGTAATTCATTTAAGTAAAGTGCAACAGCCAGCCTTTCGGTTATTCGCCTTTTGTGATGTCCCGCCGCTCCTATTGTCCCAGGGACCCCAGTGCTGCGTTCTTTCAAGGGAAGCCATTCCGAATGTTCTGAAACCTCCGTTTTTTGCAGCTGCTTTGCAACACCGTTGCATCAAATCATGACAGAGAAATCAGGCAGGCACACGACTTTCAGGTGTGGTGATCCTTTCTTTTGATGGTTGTCTGGTGAGGTGAAACATATTGTGCACCTAATTCGTTGGAACTTGAAAGCTGTTTTATGCCATTGCGGCACGACTTGACCACGGTCCCGGTGCAGGGAATAATTGCACGATTTTGTAGGTAGTTAGGGACTGAATCCTGTATGTGAAACTTTTTACAATTGTCCACTTTTGTTTTGACCTACTGAAGCGATGCATCCGTGGAACACTCCAACATCATGGCCTGCTCCACCACAGCCTTCGAACCCATCTTCGACGTGGCCGCAATCGACACCGAGTGCACATTTATTTGGACATCCCTCGGCTTTGCATCCTACATGGTCATCCTCCGCTTCGCTCATGCCGTCTACATCCGCCCCAACATCGTTGCCGTTCACCTCATTGACTTCGGCTCCTCATGCAGTACCAGGTCCACAACTTGTACCCACCATGCCTTCACCTTTGGCTCCTGAACCAACTATGGTACACACCGCTCCGTCGACTTTTCCATCTCCTATGGCACCTACCGCTCCACCCGCGTGGCCTTCCACTTCGGCTCCATCCCCTACATCGACTACACCACCTACATCGACTATGACACCGACTCCTTTGCCCAGTTCTCCATACCCACCTCACCACATTCAACCTCCATTACAGATGGACGCATCGACGATCCCTCCAAATGAGCCTTCACCACGGCCCCCAGCAGTCAAAGCAGCTCCCAGGCATCGCTCTGACAAAAGACCGGATCGACCGCGCAGACCAGCTCCGAAAACCCCTCCTCACGCTACACCATCGACACCTCAGACAGCACCGACTTCATCCGTTCCACCTGAACTTGCATCCCTGGGTTCCACCGCACAACAACTGGCCGAATCTGTTCGACTTATCCAAGCTCAGCAACTATTACTCATGGATTCTCAACGGGCACAAGAACAACGTCAACTCCTTCTTCAACAAGATGAACATCCACCGAATCCTACACCACAGATACCGCCACCTACACCTACACCACCACTGATCGCCACGCCTCCACCTGCACCAAAGGCCAGACCCACCGAACCGGACGTTCAGGACCATCGCATTGTCCCAGCTCCAACCATCGCTCCTCCTCACCAACCACACGGTCCACCACCACCAACACGCCGACCACGATCCCGAACTCCAAGATCACGTTCCCATCGACCTTCTGTACATTCCTATCGCCTTCGCCATTCTCCTCCACGTACAGAGCGACCTCGTTCTCCTCTCCCTCGTCATCGATCATCTACGAAACCCGACAAGAGCCGCAGAACACCATCTCCATACAGACGACGCTCACCACCACGACGCCGCTCTCCTGTGGTCCCTCGACGTCACCGCTCCCATCCACGCCCACGCTCCGCGACACCACGTCACCGATCCCGAGGCCGTGAAGTCATACTTCGACCTGCTGCAAACCCATCCAATCCGAACTACATTCCTACTCCTGATGCTGATGACACCTGGGGTACATGGAACGAAAGCCACTACAACGACGCCTACGACCACCACACTGCTCGACCCAATTCTCCTACTGATCCACCACCATCGGAACCACAAACCAACCCACCAACCCACACTTCAGCACCACTCGGCGCGGTGTCCTTCCGAGTTCCGGACGGCGACAGTGAAAATTCTGAGGTTGCTGATACCATTTCGCTCACCAAGTTTGACACGAATGACATCGACCTCGATGAAATGGTGGCGGCGGCCAATGACCCCCATAGAGTTCGATGCCTGACCGAGCTTGGCCCCGATCATGTTGTTCCTCTACGCCAATCATTGACCCCGGCTATCTTGCAGCTCTTCAACCAGTTTGTGGACGCGATGTTCGAACAGTTGGCTAAACCATACCGCACCGTCAACAACCATCGTATTTGGATCAAAGCCAGCCAAGCCACCGTCAGGAATATTGCCAGGGCCTTTGCACAATCCGACTTACTGGACATCGAACTTGCAAAGCAAACACAAGCCTTCTATATTGAACCAGAGAACTTGCTGACCATCACGGTTCCCACAGGATTGAAGAAGAAACCAATCTACCGTGGCGAACACATGGGCACCTACCTGATCTACCACAAGACAAGTTGGGAATCAGTTGCCAAAATTCTTGCTGAAGACTGCATCCGCCCGGCAACTTGGACAAAAAACGAAGCCGGTATACCGACCCAATACCCGTGTTACGGGTTCTTCGGAATGTCCTCTGAGATCGCCGACACCGACAACCTACCCGGCTATGCTGTCAGGATTTGTACCTCTCAGCTTTACAAAATAGGCAAAGGACAAAACCCATCAGGCCTGCTGGCCATATGCCGCTCACCCAAATGCATCCGTGCCCTAGCTGGAGGAAATGACCAAATCCAACGCTTGTGCAACCTTGCGGGCATCGCCAAGGGCAAAGACAATGCAACGGCTATGAACTCAAGCGCTGCATCTATATGCTACGTCGCCTCCACTCACCAGGTTTTCCCGGGCTTGATCACACACCAGACTGCGGAGACCAATGCACCTTCGGAACCTCCTGATGATTCTGCACGTCCAGTACGACCTGACCCTTCTGCCGACGCCCCAGAACCTTCGGAGCCGGCCCCGGACGACTCTCACAATACACCGAGCCGCCGCGAGACTGCTACCTCTGGCTCCCGGGACTATGCTCGCCGATCTTGGCATGACAATGCTGCTTGGGACAATTCCACCTACAGCCGCCGAGATCGCCGATCCTCATATTATGACGACCATTCTCGCGACCAGCACCATGAAGGCCGACCTCGTTCTCGACATTCGACCCACCACTCCAAATCTCGTTGGTGAATTCTTTACCCTTGAGGAGTACCAGAACAAGTATCGACTATTCTACGTCGGCGATCCAGTGAGCCTAGTGGCCCTGCCCGATTATTTTGGAGTAACAATGCTTCTCCCGACATTCGGTACTGCTGCCACTTCTTCCTCAAAAGGTTTGTGACTCGCTGCATGCTCATATTGTGGATCCTTGCGCAAGATTCGTTTTCACCTTATGTTTCACACACTGGAACCTCGTATTATGTTTCACTTTTTCACTCGCACACTATCCTTGTCTCACCCTGACATTTCTCGCAGCTTTCATTCGGCAGTTCGAGCGCATTTTGACCTATTGTCTCGTGACCCTCTCTACCTCATGGCGTCCCAGGACCTGATCTCCCAATACAGCGCGGATATGAATGGAATTCCTCCTTCCCAGCCGGATCGCTCGCGCACACCATCTCGTCATCCACATGGTTGGCACCAAGCAGTACCGGCGTTCCGTGGCCCGATGCACTATGCCATGACGACCCATCGACCCTTTTGGAACCCATCCGGAATACCGCCTCCACCGCCTACGTCTCCATCGTTCCCAACACGCCCACCATGGACTTCGCCTACGGCACCTTTTCCGCCCACGCCGCCTCCGAGCTCACAGACACCCCCCAACAACGCCAGTTTTGCACCTCAACGTCACCCTTTTACACCGAGATCACCGAGACCTATGTCATCCCCAGGAGCAAGTTCTTCTGTCAACGAAGGATATACATGCAGACCAATTGAAATCCCACCAGTTGAGAATTGGAAACCTGATGTCGACTTCCACGACTCCAACAAGATCAATGGTTTGGACTTCCCTTCTAGAATCCGACAGAGCAGATTTT